TTTGCACTGACAGTTTCTCCCCGTGATATCATTGCCCCACATAGAGTACAGACTGTAGCAAAAAAGCAGTAACAGACATCAAGCACTGAGTGTAAAAGTGGTAATCCTGGTTCCTGAGGGGGTGTTTGGGAGGTGGAGGCCACTGGATAGTGGCAATGGGAGGTAGCTGGTGCGGAAGGTGCAGGTATTATGCATGTAGTACCAGTCGCTGCCCACTCCCTTTGGTGATGCTTGGCCAGGTGGTTGCGCATGGCCGTGGTTCCCAGTCTTCCTGGCGTGGACCCACGTTTCACCTCTCTAGTGCAAAGGTTACAAAAGGCACTTGTGGCATTTCTTATGCCAATACTGGGGTCTTTTAGGTGAAAGAAATCCCAAACTGTAGACTTCCTTTGGGAGTAAGAATTTTGCACTTCTGCATTACCAATTTCCAGGAAACTGCGGGTGGGTACTTCATTTGGATAATCAGGGGATTGTCTTAAGTCAACAGTTTCATTTTCAAATGTTTCAGATGGTGGAAGATCTAAAACTTGAACCTGAGGATTAGGCTGAGCATTATAATTAGGCATGGAGTGCCAAGAATGGTACTGCACGGAAGGCTGATGGAAATGCTCTTGTAGTTGGTACTGGTATTCTTCACCATGGCGGTGATGTTCATATTGCCTGGTTATCCCTTCCTGTTGGTGATCACACAACCAAATTAACACTCACTGTTCACCATGCAATGTGCCATGCATATCAAACTATCAGAAGTCCCTAAACAAGTATACCTAAGCCTTTAAAAGGTGACTGCAGGATGACATCATCTATAAATGGAGAGCTGCTTCACTGGGGTCAGATTTGTTTACTTCAGGCACTGAAAATCTAGTCATAAACTGGTCATCTGAAAATTATTTAATATTTGAGTATTCAACCCATTTTCAGGTGACCTCCCTATTGCCATTTATGATTTTCCCTTTTGACATTTTATTGCTGTATGTAAAATTAACAAAAAGGAGCTTACAACTATTCTTGACAAAATGAAAACATGCATTTGTATATTAGATGTGAACAATGTCTCAGATAAGAAAAAAAAAAAGTATGTTATCAGTAAGTTTCCAATAAAAATATATATAAATGATATCCAAGATTTTAGTTTAAAGGTATTACTGTATCCCTAACTGCTTTAACAAAGGTGTTCACATACTTGCCTCAAGTCCCATTTCCTCACCGTTGCTCTGCTCAGGCACTGCAGCCAATAACCAAAGACCAACAGTGACAAGTGAAAAGGAGGGGAGTGAGTTACACACCTTCCCCCTTACCTGGAAGTACCAGGAACAGCTGAACAGAACAAAAAAAATCTTCTTAAAAGCTTTAAAAAAAGCTTAAAAAAAAAAAAAAAAAAAAAAAAAAAAAAAAGTTATCCTGTAGATATATTCAACCATACTTTGGATCAGAAACAGTGTTGTGATAAGAGGGGAAAAAAAAAAAAAAAAAAAATCAAAAAAGGCTATTATCTTCACACAAAAGGCGTGTTTTAAAAAATTTCACTGGTCAGTTTGGCAGAGAAAAAAAACCCCCAAAAAAACAAAAAAGAAAGCATAAATGCTTTTTTTTTTTTTTTGCCTTTTAAAATAGAGAGAAAATTCTATAAGGTCATATTTACACATTGTCATTCTGGTGAGTTGTTTTAATGCAGGCCCTTCAAATGAATAGTCAGCCAATGCACTAGAACATGGAAAAAAAACAAAAAAAAAAAACCATGCAGCAATTTTTTTTCAACGCAATGCATCACACCATGTGGTGTGGTGCTCTGCAATGCATTTGAGTCGGAGGTACCATTTAAAATTTGTAGCACCGCAATGGGCTCTTACTCTTGGAAGATAAGGGGATTATTTACTAAAACTGGAGAGTGCAAAATCTGGTGCAGCTCTGCATAGAAACCAATCGGCTTCCAGGTTTTATTCTCAAAGCTTAATTGAACAAGCTGCAGTTTGAAGCTGACTGGCTATCATGCATAACTGCAACAGATTCTGAGTGCACCAGTTTTAGTAAATCTCCCCAAATGTATCCCTTATGTACCACAAATAATAAAATTATTACCAAAATACATAGGACCTATAGCTGAAATTTAAAAATGGCTCTGGAAGTTAAATGATTAAGTAACACTTCAGTACTTAATTCCTATAAAAAGGGGGATAGAGTTTCAGGCACTTTTTCACATATATTTGTCAGGTTCCTTTACAGCTTTACTGAAAAAGCTCATATTTACACACAACCAACTGAAAGAGTCAAAACGAGTGATGCATACTCCTCCCTCCCTGCCCAGACAAGAGTGTTGGAAGTTTCAATGAGAAGGAGAGAGTCAAGAAGCAAACATACAGTATGTGTACACTCAGAGAAGACAGGATATTCCTTTCTTTCAGAGGAGCATTGCTTAGAAGATATACAGTTGTGTTCAAAATAATAGCAGTCAGACATCACTAACCTGATCAATCACTGTTTTTGGTAGAAATGATATTTCTACATGGCAAATAATTTACTAGCAGGTGTAGTAGAGTAATAGAAATCCAACAGACCCAACAGTCATGACATGCATGCTGCTGATTCTGTGTAATTGAATCACTAATCGAAAGGGGCATGTTCAAAATAATAGCAGTGTGGAGTTCTATTAGTGAGGTCATTCATTCTTTGAAAAACAGGTGGCAATAATTGCCCTTATTTAAGGAAGGAAGGCATCAAATGTTATACATGCTGGTTACAGTGCATTTCTCTTTGAAATTCTGAGGAAAATGGGTCGTTCTAGACATCGTTCAGAAGAACAGCGTACCTTGATTAAAAAGTTGATTGGAGAGGGGAAAACATATAAAGAAGTGCAGAAAATGATAGGCTGCTCAGCTAAAATGATCGCAAATGCTTTAAAATGGCAACCAAAACCTGAAAGACGTGGAAGAAAGCAAAAAACTACCATTCAAATGGATAGAAGAATAGCCAAAATGGCAAGGACTCAGCCAACAATCAGCTCCAGGAAGATCAAAGAAGTTCTAAAGTTACCTGTGAGTACTGTTACAATTAGAAGACGCCTATGTGAAGCCAAGCTATCTGCAAGAAGCCCCCGCAAAGTCCCACTGTTGAAAAAAAGACGTGTGCTGAAGAGGTTACAATTTGCCAAAGAGCACATTGACTGGCCTAAAGAGAAATGGTGCAACATTTTGTGGACTGATGAAAGTAAGATTGTTCTTTTGGGTCTAGTGGCCGGAGACAGTTTGTCAGACGGCCCCCAAACACTGAATTCAAGCCACAGTACACTGTGAAGACAGTGAAGCATGGTTGCGCAAGCATCATGATATGGGGATGTTTCTCATACTACGGTGTTGAACCTATTTATCGCATACCAGGGATCATGGATCAGTTTGAATACATCAGAATACTTGAAGAGGTCATGCTGCCTTATGCTGAAGAGGAAATGCCCTTGAAATGGGTGTTCCAACAAGACAACAACCCCAAACACACCAGTAAATGTGCAACATCTTGGTTCCAGACCAACAAGATTGACGTTATGGAGTGGCCAGCCCAATCCCCGGATCTTAATCCAATAGAAAACTTGTGGGGTGACAAAAAAAATGCAGTTTCTGAGGCAAAACCCAAGAAATAGAGAAGAACTGTGGAATGTAGTCCAATCATCCTGGGCTGGAATACCTGTTCACAGGTGCCAGAAGTTGGTTGACTCCATGCAACACAGATGTACAGCAGTTCTCAGAAACAGTGCTTATACAACTAAATATTAATTAAGTGATTCAAAGGAAAGCAAAATCTTCAAACATTTTTCAGTTTATATAGTGAATGTTTGAGTTTGTAAAGAATACAAACACTGCTATTTTTTTTTTTCAATTTTTTTTAGAGGAACAACACAAATTTGATATATTTTTCTTCATGTTTTGATTTGGAATAGAATGTGTAGTGTTCCTAATGCATTTGTGTGTATGGAAATAAAAGCTATTAGAATAATTTTGAGCTTTATTCACTTTTTTCAACACACTGCTATTATTTTGAACACAACTGTATAATATGGCAATTATAAATAACTGTACAAAGAATTTACCGCATAAAGTCTAAACTAAACTTTATTGCTCATTGATGTGGAACTCAAAATTTACAACTTAATCAGGACTGAAATAACATACGGTATCATATCCGTAAACAGATTTCAACATTTTATTAAAATTAAGCCACATAGCAACTTACAACAAAAAAAAAAAAAAAGAAGAAAAAAAACGCCACAAACTATTACTAAGATGAACGAATACAGATTTTCCTTTTTATGTCTGGTGTCTCTCTTTGTATGCTATAGAATAATAACAGTAGCTTTCACTTAACACAGAAATTGGACCACAAACCCCCAGTCATCTGCCCAGCTCCAGACCTAGCTGAGAAGAGCGCTGAATATATGCAGCCTGATAGCTGCCCTTTCTTCTCCTATCATATGGTAGAAGAAATAGTAAGTTCTGGGAGATACTTGATTGTGAAACAAGAGCTTACTTAGCTAACCCTCAAACATTACATGGGTAGGTAGCGCCCCAAACAGAATACAGAAGTCTTGAATGACCTATCCTGTTACCACAAAGAGTATCAGGATTAAAGAATAGAACACAAAATAATCTTTACTAGGAAAATTATTTTATATGTGTAGACCCAGGGAATGCAAATAGGAAAAAGCAAGAATAAATATAAAAAACTGTGTGTAAAAGGAATTGTGCAATTTAGTTTTTATAAAATTGAAAATAAAATGCATAATAATTAAATACATCATTAGTTGACTACTGACAAGCTGATAATACCAGAGCAAGTAAACTGGGAATCTAAAATGCAATGTACTGCCATTTCATAACATGTCAAGGATTAGTTCAGCTTTATTAGGTAACAGCTGAAGCTGCTTTCAAATGTCCAGTCACCCCATTAGTGTAAAATTAGAAGAATTACAAACACAGAAAAGCATCACACAAATGAAAAAGGTCAGTTCTCACCTGGTTTAGCATAACATCATATACATCATCTCCTTCACAGAACACATGAGACTAGAAAAAAAAAAAAAAAAAAAAAAAAAGACACGGAAGTTATTAAAAATGTAACTGCCATGACTACTCATGCACAGCAGAAAACATGGAACAGGAGGCAATTTAACATGTCAGAACAACCAAATACTATGATATTGAAGCAGCAGCCTTATCAATCAAACAAGGCTTCCTAAAGAATTCCCTGGACAACAAAGCCCCATCTACTAAATAGCTAAGAACATATACCATCAGACATTTGGAAACAGGTTATCAGACCCTTATCCACATGCCTACCAGGCACTTTCCTGCCCAGGCCAATTTTCAAATTTCAGTGCTGTCGCACTTTGAATAACAGTTGCGCGGTCATGCAACACTGTACCCAAACAACATTGTTATCTTTTTTTTGGAGACAGATAGAGCTTTCTTTTGGTGACATTTAATCACCAATGGGTTTTTTATTGTTTGCTAAACAAAAACAAACAAAAAAAAAGACTGACAATTTTGAAAACAAAATATTTTTTTTCTTAGTCTCTGTTATAAAATTGTGTAAGTAAGCAATTTTTCTCCTTCACTGATGTGCACTAATGAGGCTGCAGTAATGGGCACTGATAGGCATCACTGGTGGTCATCTGACAGGCATCATTGATGGGCAATGAAATGCAGCACTCATATATGGCACTGATAGGCGGCACTGACTGGCACTGATTTGCAGCACTGAAAGGCAGCTCTGATGGGCACTGACAGTTGGCAATGATGGGCACTGAAAGGCAGCACTGATTATCAGTGTAGATTTCCCCTCTGAGGAATGCTGCTTATCGGCTCTCCTCTCATGTCAGCGTGAGGAGAGGACTGCCAATAACCGGCATTTCCTGTTTACATACAATCAGCTGTGATTGGGCACAGCTGATCACGATAGAACCTGTGCCATCGGCTCTTTACAGCGATCGGTGATCCGCTGTGTCCCAGTAACACAGTGCACCACCGATCGGCACGCATGCTCAGCTAGAGTGGGAGGATGTCATATGACATCCTCCCAGAACGAGAGAGCCAACGCCCGACTGTCATTTCCTTATATGGCAGACGGGCGGCGGTTACACTATGACATCTGTACTCTATTGAGTGTAGTTTTATATATTAAGCCCTTCAGTTCAGGTAGAAATCTATCATTCAACTGAACAGCAAGCAAAAATGTAAACAGATATGCCTAGTATCCAAAAGGTAGTAGCACTGCCTTCCATTTTCGACTATGAATGCATTAAAAAAAAAATAATCAGTGTTACTACAAATAAAGAATTCAGACTTCTGTGAAAAAGTACCTTTCCAATTTTGCTGGAGCATTCTGGATCAATTGGAGCTTTACCTTTTAACACCAGAGTTCTCACTTGTTCTGTGTAACACAAACAAATTGACATAAATAACAAGATGAACAATAGCACTCCAACGTTCTAACTTTTGGTGCCCCCTAAACTTCATTTATAGAGTACACCAACATGAAATATACAATAAACCTATCATTTAACTCACCTTTGCTGTGTTCCTCCTCAGTTTCCGTTTTTTTTTTCTACACTTTTGTTCCTTCGGGGACGTTTTGCAGTAGACCCATTTTGGACGTTTTGTTTTGGTGGGTCACTTTCTTGATCTGCAGCAACTACACAACACAACAGCAAAAGTTCCTTAAAAGCTTAAGTCAAGGCAAGTATAAAAGAAGCACTTTAATACAGCCCTGTATTTATTAATACATTAAAAAACAAAAAGTCAAGATGTTTTTCCATTTGGATAATGTAAGGGAGGGTGGGTATTAACCCTTGTCAAGTTTTTTTTTTTCAATCTGTGTCCCATTGGGGAGATTTCCCTTCACTTCCTGTTCAATATTTAAAACAAAGGAATTGAAATTCCTTGAAAGGAGTTGAAAGTGAGGGAATCCCTGGTTGTTAACAGATCTAGTGTCCCCATATGAATATTTTACACCTAATGGACTCCAAGAAATGGATGGATTATACAGTAAGGGTTACAGGAATTCAGATACAGTCAGGCTATGCGGCTACCTACAGAAAAACCGTAAGCCAGCCTCCAGTGTATCCCCTCGTCTTCCAAACAAGCCTTTGTGGAAAAGTACTGAGATACTACGGCCCATGTACTGTACAGATATAGTTAGTTAAGCACAGACCTCACTAAGAGGACTGTGCACCATCTGCAGCCCAGGAACCACCTGGGCCAATGGTAAACCTGATGGATTGAAGTTACACCCTCCTACTATATAGCGTAACCTGCTAACACTACCAAGGGGGAGAAATTGAAGATCAAAACATTATCAATATTCTAGATCAGGGTTAAGCAACCCTCAGCATGCATGCCAAACATGGCATGCAGCTGCATTTGGGATGGCACATGAGGGAAGCCTGGGACACCCACCTCCCACATCAGAAAAGTCGGCCAGTGGTTGCAGCTGCTTTTAAGAGGTTAACACGATCGGTTCTTTCCCAGCCCGCCTCTGTTCCCGCCCACCTCACTCTGCATGACACTGAAGCAGTGTTGAGTGGTGAGCACAGCCTGATCCCCTCCTCCTATGGAAGCTGAGTCTGCACGGGTCAGTAAGCTCCTCCTCCCATCCTTAAAGTGCTCTCAACCTCTTCAATGGACATGTAGTGGAGCTGCTCCGTCCCACATTGCACACAGCTGACACCAAATTGTTTTACAAACACATCCTTGATCTGCACAGTGTGACTGTAGCTGGCTGTTGTAGCTGTGCTGCTTTCTGATCTGAGAACTACAACAGCCAGCTACAGTCACACGGTGTAGATCGAGGATGTGTTTTTAAAACAATCTGATCTCAGCTGTGTGCAGTGTGGGAAGGAGCAGATCTGTTGAGTGCCCTGCCACCAGTAACCACATTACCTGACCTGCTAACCCTGTCCTATGCCCTGCAGACCCCATCCTATTTCCCACCGATCCCTGTCCTCTACCCTGTGGACCCTGTCCTGTGCCTTGCAGACCCCATCCTAAGTCCTAGTGACCCGTCCTCTACCTCACGAACCCCATTCTGTGCACTGTAGACCCCGTTCTTTTCCCTACTGATCCCTGTCCTCTACCCTGCTGACTGCATACTATGCCTTGCTAACGCCTGTCCTCTGCCCTGCGGACCCCATCCTATGTCATACTGACCCATCCTCTACCCTGCAAATCCTGTCTTGTGCCCTGTGGACCCCATCCTATGTCCTAGTGACCTCAGTTCACTATCATGTGCACTCTAGACTGCATCCTATACCATACTGACCCATCCTATGCCTTGCTAAACCTTGTCTTCTGCCCTGTGGACCACGTCCTATGCCAGGGGTGGGCAAACTTTTTGACTTGAGGGCCGCAATGGGTTCATATATTGGACCCGGGGGCCGGACCAAGAGTAGATGAATGATGTGTATGTGTCATCCATAGTAAGTATAGTAATATTCCCCCATAGTAAGCATAGTAATTAATCCCCCATATAGTAATTCATCCCCCATATAGTAATTCATCCCCCATATAGTAATTCATCCCCCATAGTAATTCATCCCCCATATAGTAATTCGTCCCCCATATAGTAATTCGTCCCCCATATAGTAATTCGTCCCCCATAGTAATTCATCCCCCCTGCTGATTCATCCCCCATATAGTAATTCATCCCCCATATAGTAATTCATCCCCCACATAGTAATTCATCCCCCACATAGTAATTCATCCCCCATATTAATTCATCCCCCATATTAATTCATCCCCCATATTAATTCATCCCCCCCATATAGTAATTCATCCCCCATATAGTAAGTCCTCCATATAGTAATTCATTCCCCATATAGTAAGTCCTCCATATAGTAATTCATTCCCCATATAGTAAGTCCCCCATATAGTAATTCATTCCCCATATAGTAGTCCTCCATATAGTAATTCATTCCCCATATAGTAAGTCCCCCATATAGTAATTCATTCCCCATATAGTAAGTCCTCCATATAGTAATTAATTCCCCATATAGTAAGTCCCCCATATAGTAATTCATCCCCCTAAGTCCTCCATATAGTAATTCATTCCCCATATAGTAAGTCCTCCATATAGTAATTCATTCCCCATATAGTAAGTCCCCCATATAGTAATTCATTCCCCATATAGTAAGTCCTCCATATAGTAATTAATTCCCCATATAGTAAGTCCCCCATATAGTAATTCATTCCCCATATAGTAAGTCCCCCCTATAGTAATTCATCCCCCATATAGTAAGTCCCCCATATAGTAAGTCCCCCCCCCTGTGTCAATTCACTTACCTTTGGTCCGCGCGTTCCTCTCGTATTCCCGCGCCGTTCTGGTCTTCAGGGAGGACTGTGAGAGGAGTTCGTCACGCTGCCCCGCCTACATCCTGGCTGCCCCGCCTACATCCTGACAGCTGCAGAGTCCTGACGTCCGAGAGGAGGGAGGGGGGCGGCCATCCGAGAGGGGGGGCGGCCATCCGAGAGGAGGAGAGGAGGGGAGAGGAGGGAGGAGCGGGCGCTTCACAGGAGAGCCGCATCTAAATTTGTAAAGAGCCGCGGCTTGCCGACCACTGCCTTGCGGGAGCCTAGCTCCGCCCGGATTAAAAGGTCCGCCGGGCCGTATACGGCCCGCGGGCCGTAGTTTGCCCATTGCTGTCCTATGCCCTGCTGACCTCATCCTATGTCATAATGACCCCTGTCCTCTACCTTGCGGACCCCGTCCTGTGCCCTGCTGACTGAATTCTATGTCCTAGTGACCCGTGTCCTCTATCCTGCGGACTTCATCTTGTGCACTGTAGACCCCGACCTATGGCCTGCTGGACCCCTGTCCTATGGCCTGCTGGACCCCTGTCCTATGGCCTGCTGGACCCCTGTCCTATGGCCTGCTGGACCCCTCCTATGGCCTGCTGGACCCCTGTCCTATGCACTACTGACCCCATGCTTTTTCCTGTTGACCCCATCCTCTGCACTGGTTGCCCCTGTCCTATGCCCTTACTGACTCCTTCCCTATGCCCTGTTGACCCCATCCTCTGTCCTGCTTACCCATTCTATACCCTATTGACGTCATCCTCTTCCCTGCTGACCCTGGTTTTTTGCCCCGGTGACCCCCATTCTCTGCTCTGCTAACCCGTCTCCTGAACCGATGTCCACTATCCTGCTGACCCCCAGTCCTCTACCCTACTAATCCATGTCCTCTGCCCTACTAACCCCTGTTGTCCACCCTGCTGGACCCCGTCCCGTTTTGCTGACACCTGTATGCTCCCCTTCTGGCTTCTGTACACTGCCCTACTGACCTCTGTGTACACTGCCCTACAAACCGTTGACACCATCCTTTGCCCTGCTGACCAACCAATTCTTTGCCTCCTCACATTTTATACTACACCCCCCCCATCGGACTAGGCACAATCCTGGAGCAAGATGTCCCAAGCAGCCTGCTCTCATTTGGACTGGTAATTAAGTAGCTATTGGGAACCACTAATTTAAAGAGGTGCAGGAATTGGGACTGATCTGATGTGTGAAAGTGCAGAAATTGCAGATAATCTGAAGTGTGAAGGTGTAGGAATTGGGGTGATCTGAGGGGTGAAGATGCAGGAATTAGGATGATCTGAGGGGTGAAGGTTCTGCAATTAGGGGGATCTGAGGGTTAAAGGTGCAGGAATTGGGGCTGATTTGAGGTGTGAAGGTGCAAGAAGAATTGGAGCTTACCTGAGGTGTGAAGGTGCAGGATGTGTGCTTATTTGAGATCTGAGGGTCCAGAAATGGAGTCTGGTCTGAGGTGTAATGGTGCAGAAATTGGGGGTGAGTGCAGGAATTGGGGTGATTAGAGGTCTGGTGGTGCAGGAATTGGACTGTTCTAAAGTGCGACAGGAACTGGAGCTCCTCTGTGGTCTGAAGGTGCAAAGAATTGGGCTTGATTTGAGATATAAAGTTGCAGGAATTGGAACTGCTCTTTAGTGGGAATGTGAAGGAATTGGGGCTAATCTGAGGGGTGAAGGTGCAGGAATTGGGATGATCTGAGGTGTGAAGGTGCAAGAATTAGAGCTTATCTGAGGTGTGAAAGTGCGGAAATTGGGGTGATCTGAGGTCTGATGGTCCAGAAATTGAGGTGATCTGAGGTCTGATGGTGCAGGAATTGAGGTGATTTATGGTGAGATGGTGCAGGAAGTGGGGATGATCTGAGGGGTAAAGGTGCAGGAAATAGGGTGGTCTGAGGGATGAAGGTGAAAGAATTGGTATTGATCTGCGGGGTGAAGGTGAAAGAATTGGTATTGATCTGGGGGGTGAAGGTGAAAAAATTGGTATTGATCTGCGGGGTGAAGGTGAAAGAATTGGTATTAATCTGCGGGGTGAAGATGCACGAATTTGGGTGATCTGAGGGGTGAAGGTGCAGGAATTTGGGTGATCTGAAGTATGAAGGTGCAAAGTTCAATATTCATTTCGTACTAGTATTCAATTTACAGCATTTCCCGAATAAAAATGTATTTTCATGATTGAGAGTGTGAAGTTGACTTTTTTATGTTACCGGCACTCTCAATTTTTGGAAAAAAAAATATTTCAGCACACAATGCTCAAAAGGTTGACTGCCCCTGTTCTAGATGGAAAAAGCCAGGGCTGAGGTGGCAAACAACATAAAAACACTAGAGAAAATTCCCAAAGGAGGCAGATATTTAAAAGAAACCCCAGTACGATAAAACAGACAAGGAAAGACCAGTCTGTCTACAAGGAAAGGTCCACCATCCCCCATCCCAGGGGGATAAAATCTTGACTAAAGGGAGGAAGCTTGCTAGGCATGTTACCAGAGAATGTATTGTATTAGCAGAACCCAATAACTCACAAGGGCATGAAGAGAACCCCGAGTTCACTAGAGAACCCAAGGGTTCAATCCCACAAATGAAGTAAGGCAGAGGATAAGTTGAACATAGAGGTCAGTACTCTCAGAAGCAACAGGTGTATCTAGGCAGTGGGTGGCAGTTAAGAGCTGGTCTTGGTCAAACTTGTTGGTCAGGGAAGCCCTCTAGAGAGGGGGAGTCTAGGGCAATACCAGAAGAAACGGTTCATGTCCCAGGGACCGGAGACTTACCTTAGTAAGGAAGGGAATGCTAGGATGAGGCACATTTCCAGAACAAATAAAAGGGCTACAGTAAGGGGTGGGAAGGACCCAGACAGACTGGGAAAAGTGTGTGATCTTGTGAAAGAACACAGAACAGATAAGGAAAAAGGGGCCCCAGCTGGTGGGCTAAGAGTGGCAGAGTGGCAAATTTCACAACTGGACTTGAAAAAAAACAAATCCTTTGGCTGATAAAACCAATATATGAATTTCATCTGTGTATGCAGCAATTTGTCTGGACATCAACTTTTAAAAGAGTAATAGAAAAAAAATTTCAGATACTACATTTCTGAAAGCACAAGCCCACAACATATTTACTGTATCTGTAAGATCCAATGAGTCCACATCCATTACCCTTCAAAGCTAGTACTACAATTGCTAGCCCTTGGTGTGATAAGTCAGTTCTATCCTCTGATTTGGGAATAAAAAGGCTGGACTACCATTGCTAGCCTAAAACTAAAACAGCAAATTAAAGTGTAATTCCGGTCAAATTCTAACTCTTACTGTAATTGTACTCCCATCCCCATTCTAAAAGTATAGCTATTCTTCCCGGTCTGGGCAGGTAACATGATTGGGTCCCAGAGCTGGCTTTAGTGTAGAGGACAGGCAGCAACAACAGCTACAGAGCCTAGGCGATGACGTCATTCATAGGCTTACTATGGGGCAGCCATTGCCGGTTGTCCTTCCTCTATGCTGGACCAGAACAGCTTCAAAATAGAAGTAAAGACATCTTTTCTTTTATAGGGTAGACAAAATAATCTTACAATGGAGGGTGGGAGTAGATTTAGGCTTAGTTAGAATTTGACTGCAATTACACTTTAAAGGATATTGGGAAATGGTCTGTTTAATCTGCATTTAGCAGATATTTATTTATTAATTTATTTACCAAATGTATCACATACATTTCCAACACAGCCCTGTCTGCATCATTTTCATGGCTTGCACACCTACCAGATAAACAGCGTTGAATCTCTCGTTCATGCAGAGTCTGGCTATTTCTCTGCACCATAGCTCCCAGATCAACTGTGTAGGGTTTACCACCCATAATTAAAGACACAAGCTTTCCATCATGCTGAAGTGCAGACTCTAACAAGATGCAGGATTTGGCATCATAGGAGACCCAGTAATCTTCATCTGACTGCCACTGCCATACAAAATCTGCAATGAAAGATTACATGACAAGACCATACAATTTAAAAAAATGCACAAAACAAGATTTGATGTACTCACCATAGAATCCTGATGTACTCACCAAAAAAAAAAAAAATAAAAAAAATGGCATGGGAAGGAATGGGAAGTGACATCGCTCTGGTCCTCCAAGGGCATAGAGATGAGTGGCGGCCATCTTTCTTTCACGCATCTCTATGCCCAGTGCCGGGATCGATGGTTTCTCAGGTAAGGCTGAGAACTACCGAGAGGCGGCCAGTGGCGACGACGGCAGGTGGGTGGGGTTTTTTTCGGCACCTGTATCAGTGCTTTTTTTCATTTCGGCCAACAGCTGAAAAGGGTGTTTCCGGCCAAAGTGTTTCGGCCACCGAAATTTCGGTGCATCCCTACTAGGAACCCCAAGTTTAAGATCAATGTGGAGGAAGGATCCTTCCACATAAGTCCTGTCCATTCCCTTTATGTGTGACAAACTAACAACACTGCCATGGCAGGTTGCAAAGCAGGACTTCCTGGAAAAATCAAGGTTTTGGAAAAATTCTCCAAGCATTTATTGATAGAATCTGTAAATACAGGTATATCTTCCACATAAATTGATCAACATTGGTAACAGTCCACTTCAGATAAAATAAAGTAATCAAAAATTCTGTGCACAAGTTCCACCTAGCTACAGCGATCTGGGAGAGTGCAAGACTAGTGGTGAGGGCTGCTGGCATCTGATCTATTCCTAAGCAGTTTCATATGGGAATGATCCAGAGCTTGCAGCAGTACAATAACCACACAGTGGCATGAATTTACTAAAAGAAAAATATAGACTGTGCACTTTGCAAGTGTGGTTGCATTAGAGCTTAGTAAACAAGGGGAAGCTCTGTTGACTTCAATCTAATCATGCGCAAGAAATAAATGCAGATTTTTGTACTTTTCTTTGCATGTGACTGGGTGTTCTTTGCAAAGCGAAACTTTACTTCATTTACGAAGCTCTGGAGCAACTCCACTTGCAAAGTGCACAGTCTATTTGCCTTTTGTAAATCAACTCTAGTCTCTTCATACCTTTATTCATTCATGTAATGTGAGGGCATTTTATTTCTTTGCTTTAATAAAATATTTTCTACAGTGAGCATTATGCATTGATTATTTCTTTGAAGCTTTCACATAGACAGAGATGTGATGTTTATGTTTGGCTGGCTGAGTGTTATTTAAAAATTGCCTCCAACATTTTTGAGAGTGTTCAAGAGGGCTTTACCTTGGAGATATCCATCTGTAGAAGTTTGTGTGACCTTTGCAGTGGGGGTCAAACAACAATATGAGAGCACACCTTTCTTGGTGGAGATAGCAAAGGATCCAAAATTTCAAGAGATTTTGAAGCCACGGAAAAAAAAAAGTTTTTTCCAGAAAAAGTAAAATTTTTGGAAAGACTAAAAAAAAAAAAAAAAAAAAAAAAAAAAAATCAGTGTGGAGTAGTTTTACAAATTGAAAGTCATTTTGTTACACTGGGATGCACAACATTTTATCGCCGCCAACCCAAATTGCCAGACCATTTGCATGGAAACCCATTACGGTTTCCAAATTTAAAGTTTATTTGGGCCTAACCCTCAACATGGGCATTACTAAAAAAAAATGAATTGCGGTTTTATTGGTCCACAGACCCAATTCTTCATCAAATGCCTGTGTTCTCTGCTGCCATGGCCAGACATAGATATGAGAGTATAATGTGTTTTAAGCATTTCAACGACAATATACTTTGTCGTCCTCGGGGGTGACCCTGAATTTGACCGGCTCCACAAAATTTGGCCCCTCGCAAATCACCTTAACCAAAAATTTGCAGATGTCTATTCTCCCCAGCAAAACATCTGCGTTGATGAGTCCCCAATTTAATTTTTCTGGCCGCCTTGCATTCAAACAATTTCTCCCCAGTAAGCGTGCCAGATATGGGGTCAAGATGTAAAAGACCTGTGAGAGGGCAACAGGCTATACATAAGTTTTGGATTTATGAGGGAAAAGCCCCCCGGATACCCAGACTACATGGGGAGCAGTGGCAAGATAGTTTGGGACTTAGTGTCATGCTTTTTGCCATATGGGGTACCACTTATACGTGGACAAATTTTATTCAAGCGTGCCACTATTTAGACATTTGTACAATCTTGCAATTGGCGCATGTGGCACCGTGCGACCTAATCACCGGGGCTTCCCCCAACAGCTTGTAAATACCCGTCTTCGAAAGGGGGAAAAAGCCTGCTTGAGAAATGAGGAATTGCTCGCAGTGAAGTGGAAGGACAAACGTGATGTTTTCGTCCTGTCTTTCATTAACTCAGACATGACCATCCAAATTGCCATGGCAGCTGGTGTTGTTGAGAAGCCCCTCTGTGTCCACGACTAGAACCTTAACATGGAAGGGGTGGACTTCAACAACTAGATGATGAACCAGTATTTCGTTTCCCGAAAAGCCAGACGCTGGACCAAAAAAGTGTCTGTTTATTTCAATTGCCAAAATATAATGCTTTCGTGCTTTACAAAGCAACTGGCCGAAGAGGATCCTACCTAAAAATCCAGGAAGAGATCATCACGGCCCTTTTTTATCCAGAAGGTGCTATGGCCCAACCCCCAACCCAGATGCAGTTAGCCAGCTGCATGAGAGGCATTTTCCGGATGCCATTCCTGGTACCCCAACCCAAAGGACACCCCAAAAAAGAGGTGTCTGTAACAGACATGGATTTAAGTGTGACACACACTTTTTTTGTCCCTCCTGTCCTGGCCAACCTGGTCTCTGCCTCAAGGACTTCCGTCGCTACCACACACTCGTAGAGTGTGCAGCATGGCACAGTTCAGGGCACATATTTGCACATGGTCTCGAAAGATGTTAGGTAGTCAGGAAACTGGCTATTGCATTTTGAGAGACCCTACAATCTAGTTTAGTTATAATTAAAAAAAAAAAAAAGCCAAAAACATTAAAAATAAAAAAGTACAAATACAATACAAAATTAAACATTTTAAAAACCAAAAATAGTTGTAGTTTTTTTGTTGTCGAGTTACTGTTTTACTGTTACGATTTTACGGTTTTGTTAACCATTGCTGTTTTCTTTGCAGGAATGCCATTCAGCTGCAGCACCAACCTGTTTATTGCGACAGCAACAGTAACTTGCTCTCAGAATAAAAGAGCATATATGCCGAGGCATGGGGGCTGGGCATGGGGGTTGGCACATATTTCAATAAAAAAGTTGTTTTATTGAGTTACTGTTTTATTGTTAACCATTGATGTTTTCTTTGCAGGAATGGCATTCAGCTGCAGCACTGACTTGTTTATTCTGACAGCAACAGGATCTTGCTCTCAGAATATACATAAGTAAGTGTATGCAGTGCTGTTGGAAGATATTTTTCATCTAAATAAAAAAAGTGCATATATGCCAAAGCATAGGGGCCTGGGGTGGCCAGTGGGTGGATGGCCCCTATGCTTCAGTATATATTTTGAAAAAAAAAATTGGCAGAGATTTCATCATCCACATTGAACAATGTGAATAGAGGAATCTGTTAAAAAGAAAATTTCATGTGTGCCCACCATTATAAGTGGGTGGATGCAGGGCGGTACAGTCTAATGGTGGGAATACCACACACTTTTTCTGGCAGAGGTTTTTTTCTCTTTTTTTGATTAAGCCCACAGGCTGCATACCAGAAAAAGGACATAGCATATATACCAAACAAGGACCAGCGATGTACTGGTACATCACTCGACTTTGAGTGGTTATACCAGGATGATACCTGCAGCTGCAGGCATCATCCTGGTATGGTTTTTTTCAGCCAGCGATCAGCTTTTATGTAAAAGCAATCCTAGTGGCTAATTAGCTGCAGGAGTGCTTTTACAAGCAGCTGGATATGTCCCCCCTCCCCCGATGCCTTCTCGGGCAGTCCTGTGCCATCAGGGGAACCTGAGAATGCAGCCGGTGTTTGTCAGCTGACCATAGAGCTGATTGGAGACCAGAATGGCGCCAATCATCTCTATAGTCTAAGAAATCGGAAGCTACAAGCATTTCATCACTTCCGTTTTGCAGGATATAAACAGCACCATTTGTAAATTGGGAAAGCATCTGATCACACCGATCTTGGTGAGATTAGATGATGTAAGGGCAGAGGAGATATCTAGAGTCTAAAAAAAGAATACTTGTCAATGCCCATTGCAGTCACAGGGGATATTTGCATCCCCTGTGATAGCATTAAAAGTGATTTAAAAAAAAAAAAAAAAAAAAAAGAAGAAAGAAAGAAGGAGGACAGTGCAAAAAAATAATAATAATAATAAAAAAAAAAAAAAAAAATCAAAAAGCACCCTCGCCCTCCCCCCCGCGTGCGCAAGCGTTGACCCTGTGCTAGTATGTAAACAGCGGTTGCACCATGCATGTGAGGTAGTGCCGCGAACATCAGATCAAGAGCAGCAATTCTAGCACTTCACCTCCTCTGTAAATCTACAGTAGCTTGTAAGAGGCTTTTAAAGCGTTGCCTATGGATATTAAAAATGTATGCAGTTTGTCGCCACTGCACAGGGCGTACGCAGTTTTAAAGCATGTCATGTTTGGTATCTATTTACTCAGCATACCATCATCATTTATATGTTACCAAATAATTGGCCAATATATTGTGTTTTTGTGCATTAAAAGTAAAAAAAGTGTATTTTTTTTCAAAAAAAATTTGCATTTGAAAAATCACTGCACGAGTACGAATGTGACATAAAAAATTGCAGCACCCACCATTTTTTATTCACTAGGGTGTCTGCTTTAAAAAATATATAAATGTTTCTGGGTTCAAAGTAATTTCCTAGCAAAAAATACTGATTTTTTTTATGTGAGCAAAAAGTGTCCGAAAAGGCTTGGTCTTCAGGTGGTTAGAAGAGCGAGTGATGTGTGGCATAAATGTCTAATGCTGGGCATTTTTTTTTTTTTTTTTTTTACACAAAATTGTCACTTAAATGATTTATTGCTTACACATTCCATGGGAATATGTAGAATTAC